CCACAACTGCTCAGGGCACAAAACAGAACCATGTCCCTTGTGAGTTCTGTGAGAGTCTTGCCACAGGTTTTGGAGAGCAAGGATTTTATTTTCTGAGTTTATTTCTTTGAGAACTAGTATGGCTTCTCTAGAAAAAAGGATGCTATGATAATTTTGTTAATGTGAAAAATGCTAATGAGCTGATGGCAGTAGCCCAAAGGCACTATTTGAGGACTAAGAGCTTGAATATGGTCATTTCTGCTAAACTTGGTGGGTGTGGCAACCACATGAACACATTTCTCCTACAGTATTTTTCATAATTACATGTGAGTTTGGGGGAAACAGCTGGCTGATAATGTGCTGGCCTTGAAGAAAATTATTTGGGAGAGCAGCTGGTCGTTTCTAGTAGGGGCTTGCTGACGTGCTGCTTCCAGATATTGGTGCTGTGACCAAATAAAGAGCACAGTCATAGTTGTCTATGAAGCATAGGAGTGACCATGTACAAAGAAGAGTATAGGCTTGTTTCTTGCTGCTTTCCCCTGGGTCTGCTGTCAGAATATGTAATGTCTCTGTTGGAAAAGCAGGTTTAGACAGATTGTTAGTTTCTGGAGAAGAAGCAAATAATCTGTAAGGTGTATTATGCTTAGTTGTGCTCCAGGTGAAAAAAATACAGAAATCTAATTATGGTTATTGTATTAATCTGGATTTTAACATATTTACATTTTAGGGATAAAACTGAAGAATTAATGGAATTAACAGATGAGCAGAGAAATGAACTGATGAAAAAAGAAAGCAGCAGGCTCCAGAAGACTGGACACCGGGTAACCTACTCTCCTCGTAAAGAAAAAGCACTAAAAATTTATCTGGACGGAGCACCAAATAAAGATTTGACTCAAGACTGATACTCGCTATAGCATTTTCCCTGGGGAATTTTTTGTTTAAAATAAAAAGGTTCACTACTACTGTGTAGTGCCGTTACGGCAGGACACTCATTAGGTGTAAAGCGCTGACACCAGCACTGATTGGGCTGTGTTACCAATCAGAAGCGCAGTGCCCCCTTGGGTCACTGTTTGACTTGGAATAATGTTGTGCACTATAGTCAAATGTACTGTAAAGCTAAAAGGGATGTGCAAATAAAAGATTAGAACTAAAAAGCGGGCGGGGAGGGAAACGAGTGGAAATTTTTGAGGACAGTGTGCACATAGTAGCTAGTGAAACTAGCCTCAAACAGGATACTCATAGCTTAATAATAAAAGCTGTGCAAAGGCCATGAAAGAATCCTTTTTTCTGTTTGTTTCACTGATACACGCATTACCTCATCAGAGAGTCGGAAGTAAATGTTAACACGTTGGTTCTAGAAAAGCAGCAGCAAAGGGTCTAAGATGAAATGGAAGTGCTGCAAGTGTGAGGGTTTAGAATCTTCTTCCATAAACCAGGTGGTCTGAGGGGTGTCTGCCGAAAGCTGCCAGCAGGCGTTGGTTCGTTTTGCAGAAGTGCTGTTGTAAGGTAAACTGGTGTTCAATAGGTTACGAAAGCCGATGAGCAGCTCTATTATATTGCGTTCAATGTGTAAATAAAATTTGCCCTGTCCATTTAACAGAACTGCAGTTCAGCTATTTACCATGGTATTTCTTTTCACATATCAACATTCATTGTGTACATTTGGAAGTATAGTTGCCTATTTAAATTTGTATTCATTTTATGTTTGACGATGCTGGGTACTTTAGGGTTGTATTTCCCCTTGTTAATGACGTTTTTGTTTTGTTCAGCTACTTTTTGTACATTTTGTTTTTGAGACTATTACAAGTTTTCATCTTCTCCACCCACTTAAAGTCGTTTTGTTTTTCCCAGAGTTGATTCTGTAGCTGTATGTAGTCAAATATTGGGGCAACCTCTAACACCTCAACATCCAGACTTGGTAGTTCAGGTTGTGGTGCAAAGTCTGATGCAGTCAACATGACTTCATTGCAAAGCCTAGGAACAGCAGTTTTTTGCTTCGGTCCATAAAGATCAATAGAGAACAATTCTGCGTAGTTTTTGGAAAACCACCTAATTTATAACAATCAAAAGATTTTGGTAAACTTTTTCTTGCCAGATGCTGTTTACAACAATGAACATGCCAATAAAACATTTGTTCATTCTGTTGTGTTATTTTAATCATTAAATGCTGTGGGTTTTACTTGAAAAATTACAGAATTATTTCATGGAAATAGACTTTTCCAAGGCACTGTCAGAACTGTAAGGCTCTGTGTATATAAGTGTGTATATGCACACCCCCCACGCGTGTACACAGTATTGCAGGAAGTGTTTTAGAGGCTGTCTGCTGCTCCTCTTTATTTATATTCACACCAAAGTTTTCTTCAACTGTATGTTCCAGAATTGAATTGCTAACTAGGGAAACTTCTAAGCTCCACATATGATTGGCAGCTAAGTTCTGCTCCAGAGGGGAAAAAGGATTTTCAAGAACTGAACGTTCAGTTCTTCCTTGCGTGCTGACCCACAGCAACCTAAAATCCCGAGGAATCTGGCGCCTTGAGGACCAGGCACTGCACAGAGGAATTACCTCATTCTTTCTCTTCTGTGTGACCTTTGCCACCTCTTTTCCAACATAGATGAGGTGGAAGCACCAGCAAAGGAAGCATAGAGTACCATCCAGTTGGTAGAGTACTTCGTTAAACTACCAGTTACATATGTAGGTAGACTGTGGAAGGATCCTTGGAGGTTTTGGAAGAGAGAAAAAAATTAACTATCAAATAGGTCATGAATTTTCTTCAAACTCAGACATTTGGAGAGGCAAAAATCTAGAGATGGAATAAAGTAGGGTTAAGAAAATAATTCATTGCTTAATCTCTAGCCCTATTTGGGAAACTTCTGTTGAGAACTTCTTTGAAGTTAATTCTAAACTTGTAAGCCTTGACAGAAATGTGGGTAGAGGACAGAAGAGCATCCTTAAAATCATTTCCTGTCCAGTTGTGCACTTCCTTCTGCCGAAGTGCGCCGGAATATATTCTGGGTTGTTCAGGGAGACATTTTTCAGCATCTGCTTTACATTCTGATCATTTCAAACATTTTTGAGTTTGACCATGGGCATTTTAAAGAAACAAAAAACCTCAAGTTTCTAATTTGCTTAGTTCAGCAGAAATCTTGCTGCACTTCTCATGGATACCAGCACTTCATCTTTCAGGGACTGAGGCATCAAGAAACTTCAAGGGAGAATAATGTTATCCTTACGTAGGGCAGTATTTACTGACAATTATTGCTCTTTTGAAGTAGTTTTTTAACAGGAAAATTGCAAAGGTATTTAATTCCTTCTCTTCGCATAGATGGGCTGTCTCTAAAGTAATGTTATTAGGCATAGAAAGGAAAGGTAAATTCAGTGAACTCTCAGAGAGTGTGTGTATGCGTGCATGTGTTGGCGTGAGAATTGGTGGTAAAGTGAATCCTTAAACTAAAAGTTGGACCTTTCTGATGAAGTATCCTTCCTGTTCACAATGATGATGGTTATTAACATGTACCCAAGGAATTTGTTGAAGTTTTCGTAGCCCAGAGGTGGTGAAAGACTTGCAGGCGAGTAGCTGTGCTTGTTAAGTGCTCTACTGTTCCAACTTAGACATAAGCAGTGTGGATTATTTGGGAAGAAACTCCACAAAAAGTTACTCGACTGGAGCCTCATGTTGTCTTTTACCATGTGCAATAACAGATGGTGAAATCTATACCCCAAAAAACCATTAATAGTGGAAGAGCCATTGTAGCAAACTGCTTGTTGAGCCAGCTGGGAGCTGGGGTGTTAGGTGCATTGGATTTTACACTTAAGATTGCTATTGATTTCTTCAGTCAATGACCTGTTAAAATGGTAATGATAATCCAATTTTGTAACGCACAGATTTATGCCTATGGAAGTGTATTAAAAGCACAAACTGTTTCTCAAAGAATTTTCTCTGGATGTAATAGCATCAAGTAGGAGAAGCACAAGTCTCTAAATGCAAGAATGTCTTTAGGTTGTCTTTCTGCGAAACTGAAGTAATGAATTTATTATGTTCTCTGTCTCTCAGAAAGGGTAGGTGATGATGGAGTATAGTCAACAGTTCCTTGAACCGACGTTACTCGGAAGGTATATTCATGTCATGCAGAATGCTGCCGTATATGCGACACTGTATTTAGCTCTAGCTTAGGCATGGCCTTGTAATTGCAGCTGCGCTATTCTACGTATCGAGACTTTACACATTCAGTGTACAACAGAGAATCTGTGGTCTTTCTATTCAGCCCATTTAGCTGTTAGTTTTGCAATTTTGAATAATATCTTTTGCCCTTGAGAGACAGAGCCCTGAACAGTCAAGCTGAAAGCTTCTATATAGAAACCAGTGTGTTACATGGATATAAGTACGTACACCCTATTTGTTATTTATATGGAAAATGTTGTAGGCTTTTTTTTTATAGTATGCCCTTATGTAGTGGGGGGAGGCCAATGACCATTGTATATGAAAGTATAAAACTGAAGGGATACTGTAGCTATGGAACACCAGTTCTGAGGTTACACTGCCAGCTGCTGCAGGACAGATGGCATCCACTGTACACAGCTGAAAAGCAGCTTTGGATATAGTCATCTAAAAGGGTAAGCATCCTTTATCTTTTCCATCCTTCCACCATACGTGTGTGGCAGGGGGAACATGACACCCAGAATCTGTATGTTGCAGCTTCACTGATTATATTTTCTTAAAAAAACCAAACCAAAACAAAAAAAACCCAAAAAACAACTGTGTAAGATAAATGATTAAAACAGTCCAGAGTAGATGGTTCTTGCCCCAGAAAAATAAGTGATTCTAAACATAGGTACTCAAAAGTCACTTCTACAGTCACTAATAACTTAAGATTATTTATGCTTATGTGTATTTTTTTAATGAGTACAAGTACTGATAAGTTTATTTCTAATGTACAAGGGGAAAGTACTAATCCAGAAGAAACACTGACATTTCTCATTTGTCTTTGACAGCAGGTTTGGTCCAAGGATTGAATGAATTCAACAATAATTTGAACATGCAGGTTTGGTGCACAGAAAAGGATGCTCACTGAAGACCGTGTTTATTGCACTTCTATCCAGCAGTATGTGTTTAGGGTTTAGATAAGCAAGACACAAGACAAAAATTTCTAGAAATAACTAACTAAACTGTCTGGTGTTTGGACTTTAAATTTCATCTCCCAAAAACAGATCATGAGCTGAGTCGGGCTCAGGCTTCAAACCTGCTTGGTCCTCCAGACTTTCTAATTCTTTACGCACTTCCTGAATGACACTGCTTTCTTCGTCATCAGAAAGAATATCTCGAGGTATCAAGCTGAGAAATGGCATCTCGTCCATGATTAAGGGATCTTCTTTTTCATTATTCCTGGTTTCATTGGCAGACAGTTCACACACAGATGTAGCGCTGTGGCTGTTGGATAAAGAGACATCTGGTCATATAGTACGTCTTTTCATGTTCTTTTGCTACTTTCTTAATAAAATTCTTCATTCCCTTTCCACAAGAAGGCATGTTAAATGCATAATATTGTCAGATCTACTATAGCTGACTTCACAAACATGTCATGCTTGACAGCTGGAGAGTTAAGATGAGATTTGCACTTACAGAGCTAGAACACAGCAAAACCTGTTTGCTACTGGGACACAAGATGGCAGTGGACATCAGCACAATATGGCCCTTCTACCTACGAGCAATAGTGATGACTAGTCCTTTCTGTTCATGTAATACCAAGTTAAGAAACATGATACTCCAGCTTAAAAGGAATACAGAAAAAAAATGTTTGCTATCAAGCTGTAGAGTTGAGAAAACTGTGAGCATTATCTATTTGGTTCTAAATAGGATAGTGTATGTAATACCTGCATTTGTTGCTGTCTTTGTTTTGAAAAGTAGCTTCAGTTGCCTGCAAACAAACATCCCACGCTTGTTGTAGGAACTTTAAAAGGGAGCAAGAATGATTTATATTTGTTGACAGGAGGCAGCGGAATAGAACTTGATCATGGTGTACTCGCTATCTTTGCACTGCATGGGATGGAAGAGGGCTACAGGTCCCTGTGACAGTGCGAGGTGACCACTGCTTGTGCCAGGCACCTCAACAACTGCTTAAAGCTGCAGCCTCTTTCACTTGAAACAAAGGGTAAATGAACTGAAGATGTTCCTGAAGCTTATTTTGTGTACACTTTGAATTCTTCTATGTTTTCCTTTCTAGGAGTTTTGAGACTTCCATTTGTGGATGGACTATCCCCATGTTCTCTAGGATATGATCTGATAGTTTCAGTGTTTATCACTCACTAGTGTGTGTTAGCCAAGGGCCATTTCAAGCAGAGATGGACTATTTCTTTTAATTAAAAAATGTTACCTGAATCTTCAAATTCACCACATAAATTCACAGAAGCAGCTTTATCTTACTGTCCATACGAATCATGGGCAGGTGATATGCACAGTATTACTGTATTTGTGATAACTCTAAACAGATAAACAAATCTTTTGACTATAGCTGGACAGTTCAGTCCAGAGCTTCACACCCTAACTCGCTTCTGCGTTTCTGTATCCTCATCTGAAATGTTTCCCTTCTTACTAGACATGACACTTCCTGGCATACCTTTCCTGAGGTTAAGGGTACTTGAACATTAACCAAAATTTTGGTGCTGAAAGGATGGGATCAACTCTGCTTGCTTCCTTAGATCACATTTATGAAACAAAATGTGATTCAGTTACTTTTCATGCATGAAAAAATGTAGAAATGAAGTTGGACACAGAAGAAGAGAAATGTTGATCTACATCTCTGCTACAGCTATGCTGTCTCGTTGAAAGTTAACGTAATGAAAATGGTAATGTAGGAACAAACTTGGAGAGCTTATTTCATAGATAGCGTGTAAGTTTTCTAAAAATGCTTTTAGTGCAAAACTGAAATGATCTCATTTTATCCCAATGAAATTGTTGATAATGCAAATAACTGTCCTTTTAAAGAATGATTAAAGGCAGTTTTAGCTGCTTGGAGAAAATAGAGTCAGCTGGCTTCCTATTTCATGAAACTCAATGATACTGAAGAAATCTGCACAGTATAAATTTTTCAAGTCCGAACAGCAGATCTGAAGTCAGTGGTAGGGAAACTGCCTTCTTGGATTAGTTTGAAACCGAAGGAAAGTGCAAGCACAGATATCTTTTTTTCTTGTGATGGAAGTGACCTTCTGTAAAACTGGTCAGTAGTACAGGAACGTGCCTGTTTATACTTACTGCGTGTATTTAAATGTCTTTAATATGTCTTACATATGAAAGCAAGCCAAACATCGAACAGAAGCCCAATCTAACATGGAAAGTTGGTGGACGAGAGTGCTGTATGGAGAATTAAATTGGAATGATAGATCTCAACAGCTGTTAGTACTTTCTGATTGATGAAAAAGCAGTACCAGCCTGATGCACAAACTTAAATCACACTGGATTAAGGTGTTGCCAAACTCAATTAGGCACATCTGTGTGGGACAAAGCAGCAAGTTTGAGAAAGTTTCAATGCTACTGATGAGAAAAGCTGTCAAAACACTTATAGAGTGGAAAAATCTGTAAGCTCTGTATCTATTTAACACAGAAAGAGACCCCTCAAAAATTCCAAGCAGTTCACTTGCCCGGTTTTGGTCTTTACCTCTGAGGTTGGCAGATCAAGCCACTTGCACATGGGCATCGCTCAAGTACTCCATCGGGTTCCAGTTCCCAGGTGATGAGGTTGAGAAGTCTGTTTGAAGGATCATGGCAGGGTTCACCTTCTTCAGGTAATGGAGTGCACACAGGAAACAGTAGTTCTGCGTGCCAGAGTAAATTAATTTTATGAGAAGTCGTTAACTGTCTGCTAAACTAAGATGACCTAATCTTTAAGTCTGCACGCGAGACATGAAAAGACAGACTTGACTTTAAGTCCTTTGCCATATTAGGGAGCATTAACTTAATGTTCTTTCCACTAGGTGGGAGTAAGATATTTGAAGTTTATGCTTAATGAGCAAGATCAATTCCTGCTTCTTCACGAAGAGACTATTGTCAATAAAGTAGTACTAAACAACTCCATCCCTTGGAGATATGAAAGACTATTCCAAAACCAATAAAACTAACATTACAGTGAACCCTTTGCAATGCGTAGCATTAATTATTTAACATCTGAATAGAGAAATACCTGTATATTTTAGAAGTTATTTTTTCTATTTCTTTGCAGAGGTTACAAATGCAGATTGTTCAGAGACTAAATGATGAGGTTACAAGAACTACTACTCAGCCATTTAATTTGTTACAGTAATTCTACAATAGGCAAAGCTGGCTGGTGGCATTTGTGGCTTGGCATCCTTGTTTCTGCACAGGAGTGAATTTCAACCTGCGTAAGAAATTTAGAAGGATATATTATTTGGGTTTTCTTATGCTGGTAACTTAGAGCGTCAGTCTTGATTTCAGCTCTTCCAGATGTTCCTATTAAACCTCCCTTCTTTGTTCACCTCATTTTTTTTTGTGGTATAGCAGAATAAAATATGTGAAGAGTTTGGAATTTTAAGTTTTTTAAAGAGGCTTGGTCAAAATATATGCGCGTGTGGGTACACACACATATGCTTTAATGTATATGACTTATCAGTTCCTGATTCTAAAACAGATATCTTAAGCAGCAAATGCTTCATAGTTTACTCCAATTTTATATAAAAAAATATACATATAAAGGCAGTCTAATCTTTATTAGGACAAGCTTTTGCAATGCTTGAGTGATGGAGAAAGGCCTTGAGGTTAGGCCTAACCTGAAAAACCCTAAAGCACTGCTAAAGCAGACAACTGTAGAGAGTGAAAGTCCATTGCTTTTAATCAACAGCTCTATTTAAAGTTTTAATAATAGTTTTCCGTCAATTCTAGTCAATATTCTTATCTATGGTATTGTTCCTTCCTGAGTTACAGGTTTGTACTAAATTGCGTTTCAAGCCAAGCCCTAACTTATACTTAAATGAGTGTGAATGCCTTACGTGTCTGGAATAATCATGAAGACACAGCTTGTTTGGATCCCATAGGGAATCAGGGCTGCAGAAGCAGTGTTGCCCTCCCGGTAGCCTGGCGCTGTGCTGCTCATACCAATGGATGCATACTGCCGATTTACTCATCTCTGCAGCATAAGCAGAGATTCAAAGTCCTGCTCAGTAAAAGTAATAGTCATTTATTAAATTTCTGTCTCATTTCAGAATCAGAGTACAAAGAAATCTCTGATAGAGCTTGGCAAAACCTGTAAATGCTTTAGGCAGAAACCCAACGAAGTGGGAAAATAAACCTGCTCTAACTGAAACTTGCTGAAATCAAACTTATTTAACATGGAAGGTCTAGTATGTAATGCTCAAAATTGACACAGGAAAGCTGAGCAAATCCCCTTGCCTTTAAATGGTGTTTTCCTGAAATGCCCTGGTGCCCTGATCCCCCAGCAGGCTGACGGGGGGACAGTCAGCCCAACTGCCAGTGAAGGTACAAGGTCACCTCTTACTCGTAGCAAGAGCCAGGAAAACAGCTATCTAGAGAAGTACCTACCTGGAGTGGAAAGGTGGCTGGAATTGTATCCTGTCACTACAAAATTATGGTGAACTATGACCAAAGCTGTGAGGAACTAGTGGGTATAAAACAGTAGAAGAAGCTGGGCCCTGACCAGGCAGGATTTAGGACTGATTTCAGGCCTGATACCCTCTCCTCTCTCCTCCCTTCTGTAAATCAAGTTTCACATTACCATGTGGACTGACAACATAATCTGGAACATAATTCCTCCGTGTATTTTGTTTGTCCAGTCAGCATTGCATAGCGTGATGCCCTGGAAGGCTCATATAAAACTCAGAGTATGAAATGTATCTGTGCTCTGGTTCTCATGGCCTGCTTGCTGATATGAAGGAAAAGCCACTTTCAGTAGTCTCATTAATTTATTTTGTACATTTTTAACTCTCTTATTTTTGTTCTGTTGGGTGAAAATTTGACACAGAGCTTTGCTTCTTTTAAACGTCTGAGACTCTCATTTTGAAACAGCAGATTTTTGTGCTGCTCATGCTGGTCTCCTCTCTAGTGTGCAACAGGCTTTTCTTTCACCATCGCACACCCCTATCAGACTGCTTCTCGCTCTTAATTCTATTAAAGTTTCATAATGAAGTTAGCACGGTGCGCTCCACAAGCCAGGGGAGAGTGACCTATTGATTCTGTAGAGATTTAACCTCTTCACCTGGGCAAAAGAGCTAAATATTAACACTCCTGTATTATAGAATTAAATAGGATAAAAAGCAAAACCTCTGTACCTTTCTGAAAAGCACAGCACATTCCAGGGTTGCAGTCCTGCTGGTTCTCACAAATGGTGCCGTTCTCTCCTTTTGAAGTGGATTTCCTGCACTCACCCCAAACGCAAAGCTGGTCTCCACAGCATTCAACATCCCGGGAGCAATGCTGGCCAATGGAAAAAAAATGTCACTCCAGCACTAATTGCATCCATCAACAGATGGCTAAACATGGAATTAGACCCTGGCCCTGAAGATAACTGCATATATATGCTTTAAATATATACATGTCATATTCCCAGTGTTTAAACAGAACAGCGTAGGTTCTTGATTTCAAGCAGACATAAAACTATTTGCCAGACAGGAACCTCTGCAGCAGAGTAACAGCACTCCTGTACTATTGTACTTTCAATCTGACAAAACCTGAATTCTTATTTTAGCATTTACATCAAAATTGATCAGCAGCCAGACATCCTACAGTGTGATACGGATTTCAGGGCAGCCTTTTGCAATTGAGGAAAAAAAAATTAATAAATGAAACATTATCAATGGAAAATGTTACTGATTCTTTTTGCATTGTTACATGCAGTCAGGAATTTACAATTTGTTCAGAAGGATTGCTTTCAAAGAGCAAAGCTAAAAAATCTTACTCAAATGCAATTTTTAGTTAGTAATAAGAACCAGATCTCATTTGTAACCCATACTCTGAAAAAAATCTGTATGAAGAAAAAATCTCTTTGCAAATCAGAAATGCAAACCTCTAGCTAAAGATAGCTTTGTATGACAATTGTCCCACTGTTTCAACTATACACACCTAATAAATCAACCGAATAAAAGCGGTGTGTCACTTTGTTTCTTTTTTTAGGTAGTTTGATTAACATCTTAAAGATTCCTAGTAGGTCAGCATTTTAACAGCTTTTTTCTGTCTGCGTAAAGCCCCGTCTGGGCAGCCATACAAAATAAGAATTTCTTTTCCAGTGGATCCCACAGGAAGTGCTTAACACAGGGCAGGAAGTAGGACTACGCTAGCACTATTAAGACCTGCTAATTCAAGAAAAATGTTTTGTAACTGTGGGGGTTCGAGTTGAGGGAACTGATCCTACCACTTTCAGTCTGAGCTCACTTTACAACAGGGGTGTAGCTAGGACCCAATTTTTACTTTCTTTATCCCACAAACATTCTGAGGACTGCAAAGAAAAGGGGGAGGGGAGGATAGGTATTAGGTCATCCCAATCTTGATTTTTAATTATTCCATGTTAACACGAAAAATTACCAGTTTAACATTTTCTAAAATATTAAGAATAAGCTTTCTTAATGACACTAGCATATATTCAGGACTTGTGTTGAAGCAAGCATTCAGTCCACTCAAGTCGATAGAGCTTCCTGAAGTTACCAAGACAAGTAAGTGTTTAAATCATTTCAGGAACAGCCCGGTGCTTTTAGATCATAATAATCCTATTACTTACATGAATTTACAGCAAGGCTTGCTTGCTTGTAGACTTAACTGTCTGCAAATGCTTTGAGGAATGAAATTTCTTTCACAAGAGACCATCAGCTTAACTTGGATGAAAAGGGACGGTCAGATAAATGGCCTTTTTCAACAGACTGCTCTTAAACTGGGTTTTCACCACAGAAAAAGCCTGAACTTTTTAGGCACCTGTTACCTACAGAAGATAATTTAACCATAGCTACTTACCAAGAACATTTATCTTTTAGCTCAAAAGGCAGGAATTGACTGCTTCCTGAGATTCACAGATTCAAATAATGCAAACGATCCATGCAAGAGGATCATTTACAGTAACAACCGCACTACAGCATTGTACAAGTTGTCAGCGTGGGCCAGAGCACAGGCTGCTGCAATTCCCTTTGTGAATCAAGAGCTGGAAATGACCAACTGTCAGCTGAGCCTTAGGAGCTGGCACAGTATTTCCTCTTTGCCCGTTCCACTGGCAACCTACAATGTGTTAGTTTACGCTGTCTTTAGGCCACCGAACAAGTCAAGCTTGAGTCAGGAGGAGCAGAGTGCAGGTTTTAAAGCATATGAGAACAGAAACCTTAAAACTTAGTTGCGTTAACAGGCAGAAAGAAAAAAATTCTACACATCCATTTTTCAACCTCATGCAGAAATCTTTGCATGTTCTTTTCTACTGATTTTGACTTGCTGACATTAGCAGCACTAACTTATATATTGAGTTTCTAAAAACCACATAAAATCACATCTCATTCAGGACTTACTGTATGCTGGGTTTTACAGAGCTGACACTTGTATTCAAAGGTGGAGAACTGGCAATATTTCCCTGTTTCACAGTCTTCGTCAATGATACACTCCTGAAGAAAAGGATAAAAGTGTAATTTGCCACTGTGTGACAGAAATCCACCCCTCTTCTTGAAATACCAGAACGTCTTGATTGGTTGCATTTCTTATTTGGGAACCAAGAGAAAAAGCTTGCTTTGGTTCTTCATGCAACCCCAGTTCTGTGACAGAACAACGCTATCTCCCTGGCATACCTAAATAGCGTGGCCTCAAAGTGTTAGGTGGCTTCACTTTTTGCATAATATTAATAACAGCAACCTCAAGAAAATAGTCTTGTTCTGCAGGCTTTGGGGTTTTGGGTTTTTTTTTGGGGGGTGGGGGGAGGTCTGAAGACATTTGTACTAAATCTATTCTACTTGTATTAGAGTAACAATTGTGATTCATTACTTGTTGGCTGTTTTTCCAATGGGGAGCAAGACTGAATGAACGAGGCTACACCACAGCAGCTGCAGCAGCCAAGAGTATCTTTATGCTCTGTGGGAGACTGTTCTGCAACAGCTCTCTTGATCCCAGGCCAGGTAGATTTACGCTGCCCTCCCTCCTCTTCCCCAGCAACTTTAGTGCTGACCTCAGAAACGCCACAGCACTGTTAGCTTCTCTAAGCCAGCAAGGACAGCCCTAAGGGAAAAGGGAAATGTGTTTCCTTTGCCTTTTAACTGCTCCTCTGTGTGCCTTTGCAAGGGGCAGACAAATTCTTCTCAGGCAAATATAAGCATCTTTGCAATGCCTCAGCATTTTTGTCAGCAACAGCTCCTACGCTGAAAAATGCAGTGCTTCCTTCCACAGAACCGGTAACATTAAACATTCCTGGGACTTTATGATAACAGCAGCAATACCTCGTCTAAATACCCACACAAGGAAATCGTAAATCCTTACTTGAATTAAATTTGAATATTGCAAAATATGCAGGAGCATATTTTCAGCTGGCATCATTTCTCTGGCATCTCCCTGCTGTCCCTGGAGTTAATTTACATTTAGTAACATTCTAGCCTGTCGAAGAACAAGATTTCCACATCGCACGCTTTTGAAACGCATGTAACAAACTCAAACGTTTCCTTCCCCCTTGTTTGCTGCATATGAGCATTCAGCAGACAGGTTTGAACACCCATTTAAGATTGACAAGTACTGAAGAGCCACATCTATCCTAGGGGAAAACAAAGCCCCACAGTTCCCTAATGCATCAGCCTTTGCTGCCCGGCTAAGATGCCAGAGCAGGCCTCAAGCTAGCGAGGTGTGAGGGACACCTGGGTCCCCATCTGAATCATAGACTCAGACTAAAGTTTCTTCACCCAGAGGTCCCACAAGCACTGTGGTACAGGTGGCTCACCTTTTATTCATGCTGCACAGGGTGAACATACAAACTAGTCAGAACACAACTCTGCAGGTATGGCAGTGAGGAAAATACAGAAAGTGTGTATGTTTGTGTATCCCTAATGTGTCCAGTTCACAGGGAGGGGGTGTTTTCTCTTCCTATCTAATGGTTACCTCTTAAAAATTTGTACCACCATAGGGCTGATGCTATCCTTTTGCTATTAGTCAATTAAAAAAAAAAAAAAAAGAAAGAAAAAGGAATTATAAAAAAATCCCTGAATTTTCTGAAGAAACCACTTGACTGTTCTTTGGCAGATATTAATCTCACTTGCTGGAGCAGATCAACTGTCGTCTGTGCACCCTTTATTGAAAGTCTCCACTAAGCTTTTTATTTTCTATTTCTACTTTTTTAGATCATTTCTCCCTAAACTGCTGACTTCTTCCACCCCATCCCAGTTGGGTTTTGCATTTCAGCTGGGCTGAAAATCAGCTCAGCCAGAAGTTTAAGTGAAACTCTTAAATTACTATAATCACTGAAAGAGGAAAAGATTACATTGTGAAACAGCGATACTGTCTTCAGATCTTCTCCAGATTAAACCTTACAGAAGCTTCTTGCCCTGCGCGAGACAAGGCTGCTCTGTGTGAAGCGCAATGCCTCGTCTAAGTTACCCATTTTGGCCACCTGAGATGTTTTCAGTTTGATTACCCAGAACGCAGAACAGAAGGCAAACACAGTCTAGGGCTTGATTCTTTTCAAGTCAATGACATGACATTGAGGTTATATGTTTATAATTAAGAAGCAGCCATTTCAGCTAATTTAAGACATTAGTATCACCGACTCTAGGCTGCTATCACGATGTTTTTGCAGTTTCATTACTCCAGGACAGTGCGTGTTCTGCTTGTTTGCCTTTGTGTTGCTACATAATCACATTGGTCAAAATCCAAATGTTGTATAATATGTTTGCAGTTTTGTGGTTCTGTTAGCCACTTCTCTTCAGTAGCCGGGCTCCTTCTGGCCAATTTTCTCTGTAGCTTTGTCAGCTGCTTTTATGAATCCCTCTGTATAAACCATACTCAGAATAAACTATACTATTTCATTCCTGTTCCATCCACTTTCAGGCAAACAGCCAGGTCTCAGTGTAGTCAGTTTTTCCAATTGTCCCTCTCCACAAAGGAGAAATCATTTTTAAGCTCATGGAGTAACTCTCTCTCTAGCTTTAAAACCACCTAACACCAAAATTGCAATTCTCCAGTCACTGCTTTCTCCCACACTAATGAGTCCCCTGCCAAAAAAACTTTTTCCCCTCTTACTGAATTGTGTCCCACCAGTTCAGACTTCCAGTTTTATGAGGGTTTTCAGCTGGGGAAAAAATCCCTTCACAATTTTCTTTCCTGGCATGGAAAAAGCTTGCTTTCATATGATCTCTGTGAAATTTTGTGCCACACTCCAAACCAACTTCCTTCACCCAGGTATTATAATCCATAGTCAATGCAGAACTCAGTAATGCTTAGAGATGCAGATGTGTAACCCTTTATCTTTTTTTTTTCTCTCTCTATCTTTTTTTTTTTATTATTTCTTTATTTAATCACGGTACAGACCTTTTCTAATCAGGCTACCTTGAGACACAACAGTTGCTCGAGAAGGAGCAAACCTAAACATCTGCTGCAATAGATTCTGAACAGTCAATTTTTTTTTCTGGAATTCTGCAAACTAAGTTATTTTTCAGAATATTTTGTCTTTGTCAGTGTAAACCGAGGAGAGGGGGTGCTGGTTTCTGACATGCAGCAGAGCCTAAAAGATGAGCAGATAGCTTAAAGACACAATTAGCTACACTTACAATGGTGTACGTCTCTCTGAAATCCATTACAATGTTATACCTGTTAATTTAACATAGCAGCAAAGGAATGTGCTGTTTGAGAAGTGCTAAAGAATAATGCAGGGTGAAAGCAGGATTGCCTGTTTATTAATGGGTATACTAGGGCCCATAAACAACAGAAGCCAGGATGGAGAAAAGCATGCTATGTACCTGTAAGTACATACTCAGCATCCTGTGGGCTCTTACTATAATACTGTACTCTGCAGTGAATATCCTGCAACACCTGAAAGCAATTTGGGGGTTAGGATCTGTTCCAAAACCAACAGGGGAAAAAAACCCCAACCCAACAAAACACTGAAACTTGTGGAAAAGGTTCTCTGTATTGTAAGACTGCTAAAACAACGGCTGCTGAAAGAAACTTTAGTTTTCTTGTCTTTGGCAGATTATGCCAAGTCATTGTTTGCTTTCCTAAAGAATGGTTAGTCTCCACACTTAAGAATAAAAAAATGACAGATGTTACTGATAATGAAGTATGGTAGGACTACAACTACCAGAAAACTGAAACAGATGCCTGAGTGCAAGATGGCACAGGACTGGACAGGTCAAAACTGGGGTAACAGGTTTTGACAAGAGTACTTTCCTTCGGGCTGAATGTTTACATACACAGGAAAGGCACAGAAGAAAAAAAGTTTTCTTTCAATGTGATACGACAATATTCGCGCTCCAGCCAATAGCATGCCTTTGACCTAGAAGGAGCTACGGGCTATTTTGGCAGACTGTACTTGACTGGTGGAGTGTAGCCAACTGTGGTGTGGACCACATTATCCTCTGCCCATATCACACATTAAGGATAAAGAGGGAGAAATTAAGCATTTCTCAGTTGAAGTTATGAAAGCAGAACTACAAGGCCACAGATAACCTACTTTCACATAGAAACACACTTTTGTTTGCAGCGTTCATCTGGTTTCTGCACCTCGCTATGGTAATATTTTTAATGAACTGTTTCGCTTGTCATATAGAATGTACTGCAATCATGCTTATTTTGCTCTGCTCTTTTCCCCCTTAATTAACATCCTAAGTGTAGACTAGAAAATATGCTCAAGTCTATTCTGATACGGTCTGACTTCCAAAATGGAATCACTGATTTTAAATTAAAAATTGACATTTGATTAGTCTATTCCTTGTCCCCACTCACACTGACCCTGCCTCCCACATTCTCAAAAAGTCCTTCTTCAAAGATAATTTTAAACAAAACTCTCTCTTCGCTTTTCATATCTTCAGCCAGTACGTGTCAGGGACAGGCAAATGACTGTTGGGAATAAGCCTTCCTTTGCTTCTGGGCTCTTTACACTTTGGTTTAGAACCGAAGGAAGCAGAGGAAGGCGCTGTTGATGACATTATACACAACTTTTCAATGGTGATTAATATATCTATCAAAGATAGACACTGAACACGGGGCTGGGGGAGAGTATATGGAACAGAAAATGCCCCTCTGGTAAGGGGCAGCTGTAGTGGAGAAACTCAGTAGCAGTTGTTTGCCAAGGTCACTGACTGCTCTGACATGAAAACAGTAAGTGGGCTTCAAATAGGAGAACCACTTTTCCCCTCCTTGGGTAAGCTATACGGCCCAGTTTGCTGGCTTACTCTGATCCAGTTGCAGTTTGTGACTACACACCTTTGGAAACTGCCTAACAGCTGAAGGAGAGGCAGGCTTTTTTTTTTTTGCCTTGGCACTGTCTGTACAGCTGTAAGCCAAAAGACCCATTCCAAAGTGTTCATTCCTAACCCTCTATGGATTTCAAGTTCACAAGCCATAAAGTATAGAGGCAAAATTCACCATTTTCAGAAAGGTAAGGAAGTTTTGCCAGCACGTACACAACATAGGA